CCAACAGAATCTAAACAACACGCCCACCTGTCATCCCTCTTATCCCCTCCCGCACCTGTTCCTCCCCCCATCCCACATTGGCCAGAACAGCGCGGTATTTTGCAGACAACAGCAGTAACCAATACATGAACAGCCTTCAATAACATTGTCAAACCCATTCGCACACAACAGAACACATGAACATCAGCGGCCGGTCAGGGTCGCCACAGTATTATTATGTACGTGAATAAAAACAACTTCAAAATAAAAGCAATGTAGCTTTAGTCCATGCATGAGGTGAAATTAAAAAACACGTTTATTTTGTAATTTCCAATTAACCTTACACGGGCCCGCCAGAGTCAACCAAAGGGCCGTATGCGGCCCGGGGGCCGTAAAATGCCCAGGTCTGACGTAGTCGGTCTCAACTTGCTTTTTATTAAACTCCTCCAGTGACAGATATCGCCAAGATTACACAGTGCTCCCTGTTCTTTTTTCTCTCCGTTTTCCTCTCCTCTCCTCCCTTCTCTCTTTAAATTAAAATTCTATTTAAATTTCCCACAGCTAGGCTACTTAAAATAACTAGGGGCAGGAGGAGTAGCCTGTGCTGGGTGCTATTGGGTACAGATCAAGGATTCAGGCTATGCTACTGTGGAATATTAAGTTGTTTGAGACATTGTAACTGAAACACCAGCACCGTTTTCTATGCACACACACTCAGTTGAAGTGTGTGTGTGTTCACTCAATCATTATCAATATGTGTGCTCATTTAATTATAGAATGTACTACTTTGGAATTAGGGAGTTGTGCTTGGTACAGCTATGATCCTAGGGGGAATATCCTTGGGAAAGTAATGATACTTTCCAGCTGCATGCTGCAGGAATGTGTAAGGAGGAGGGAAGAATAGTATATATCACACAGTTTTGGTAACTGCACCTCAGATCATCTGCCCTGCTGCTTGCTGTATGATCTCCAGATATATCTGCAATAAAAGGTAATCGTGCACTTTGATATTTGGTGTGTAACTGAAATTCTTTCCACTATCTGGACTCGAGAAGAAGTCTGGGACTTCACACTACTTAGAAGGAGAATCATTCGTTATATTATGGAGACAAGATAAGGAAACTGGATAACTTTTCTAACCAATCGGAATTCGAGTATATACACATTCCGATACATTAGGTGGCGGTAATGCACCTAAAGCTGGTTGTCAACAACCATTAAACAACAGAAGAAGATGGATTAAAAGAGGAAGAAGAAAATGGCGGTATGCATCTTATTCTTTGGTTCGCTGTTCGCAAGCGGAAGTAGAATCAGCACTGTATTTTCTGGGTAAAGCGTTTGCACCTACAGGAGTTTGTTCATGTGCTTCAGTTAAAGTAAGTTGTACTTTAGCTCCTATTTTGATGGTATCTTTTGAGCACAGGAGATGTTCGTTAACTAGCTTGCTTTTTTTTTTTTTAAACATATTTGCTCTCCAGTGGAATGATTTGTTCTAAGCTTCCGCTAAATGTTAGCTAGCTCTAGTAACACTGAGATTGTTTGCAGACTAACTTAACATGCATCTAAGCTCCTGGTTGTTATCCGCTTCACAAGACATCACATTAAACTCAACTTTAGGTTAATAAGTCCGTGATTATGGAGAATCGTTAAGTCGTTAAGCTTTTTTTTGTGATGTGTGACAGCAAAGCGTTTACATGGTGCTAGAAATTACGTAATAATAATAATAATAATAGGTTAATTATATAGCACATTTAAGACAACAAAGCTGTGCCAATTAAATACAAGTATAACAGTTACCACAGATACAAGGTTAAGTCAAAAAGTAGAAGCAAAAGTGAGTATAAGTACCAACTAAAACGTATAACAGAAAGACAGTTTAAAAACAAATATATCACAGAAACCAATAAAAGTAAAGGTCAATAGTAGTAAAATATATTAAAGCTAGAGGCTAAGAATAAGTAACAGGAGAAGCTGATTTGAAGATCTGAGTTGTCAAAGCTTGGAAGCCAGTGCATGGATGAAAGTACAGGAGTGGTATGATCATATTTCCCTGAACCTGTCAAAAGGTAAGCTGCTGCATTGTGAACCAGCAGGAGCAGTGTCACAGATTACGGGCTAATTCCTATATAAAGGCTATTGCAGTAGTCCAACCTTGAGCTGATAAAGGCATGGACAGCTTCTGCCCTGAGTAATAATGGTAATGCTGGAATTAACCAAAATTAACAGTGGTTGTTGTTATTGCCAGGGTTCATAAGAACGTCAGGCATCAGCCCCCTCATCCCCCTCATCCCGTACTCTACAGACCATCTATCTGCATGCAACTCTCGACTGTACGCTTCACGCTTAGTGAAAAATGGCAGCAGTTCAAAATGAAACTCAAGGACGCGTGGGCTTGAGAAGACGAGCTCAAGACAAAATAGAGAAGTGCGCATGTTTGACTCAGAGAGACAGGTCACGGAGGAGAGCTCGAGTGGAAATTGGATTGGCATTTGAAAGGTGGCGTGAACTGAAAGCAGCAAAAGGGCTGAAATCTGATGCACAAGTGGCCCTGTGTCTTCTGGATGCGTGAGTTCTTTTCTGACAGCTTCATGATTGCAGAACAACTTCATAAATGTTTGTTGCATAAGAGTACTGGCTTTCGCTTTGGCCAGTACTGCTGTTGTTGTTTTTCCTGCTTCAGCATGCTCTCTGGGGTTTCGGCGTTGCACAGTAGATGGATCTGAGGGGACCCAGAGTGATTCTCCTAATGTGTTTCATCGTCCCCTTGAAGCTCAGCTGGGAGGGGAACAAGTTATTTGGTGGATTGTACTGACTGGTTGTAGACTGTGGTGGACCGAGGACCATTTTAAACTGGGTGGAACTGGATAACAGTCCTACTGAGCCTGACAATATATGATAAATGACTACCTGGTCAGACAAGTTCTTATATTCAGTAAATGGTCTTATACTTGTAGAGCGCTTTTCTATGCATCGTAGCACACAAAGCGCTTTCCCACTATTTGGCCATTCACCAATTCACAGTCCCAAGCATTCACACATTCACACACCAGTGACATCACTGGGATTAACTGGGGGTTCAGTGTCTTGCTCAAGGACAATTTGATGTGTGACCCGTACAAGCCGGGAATCGAACTGCTAATCTTACTGTTACGAGACGACCTGCTCTACTTCCTGAGCCAAAAATAAAACAAGCTACTAGTGCAGCTCTCTCTCTCAAAGCCCTAAACTTTGGCTTCCTATGGAAGCAAGTACATCACTTGATGCACAATATATAAATTGCCATCTGTTCTCCCGCTGCCACAATAAATTCCCCTGCATATAAACCTCAAAGCTGTTTAGCGTGGATCACGGAGCAGTTTGCAAACCAAACAAATCGATAGGACACACATTGGAGTTGTGCACTATAAACCCTTCCCTTTGCTTTTCCCCCCAAAGTATTTAGAAAAAATTGGCTTGGGGAGACATTTCAGAGATTAAATGTCCATTTGGGAGCTGGTAGCGATGTTTGGATTTTTCAGTTTATGCATGGAAAGGGGTCGGTCATTTGGTACATTAAAATTTAAAATGCAGTCTGTTGCCAGCTTTGCTTTGCTGCTGACCCTGATGATGTTTGTCATTGTTTTTATTGCTTCTTTTCTTCCGGGCTTTTTGTGTTTGTGCAGCTTTGTACAGACTATGGTGTGGTGTTTCTACAAATAGTTGGTCAAGGTTGAAATGTTGCACATTTTCACTTGCATTTTGCTATCACAACATTTTGGTACCCAAACACAGAGACCAGTAAAGACATTTAGGAACCACTTAAAATCTGTGGTTACCCCAACTGGGCCTTTGTCAAAACCACAAAAACATCCAGTACAAACCCCTTTAATGGAAACACAGAATCGACACAGCACTGTCACTCCACCCATTGCTGAGGTATCTGAAAAACTCAGGAGAATCTTCAGCAAACATTACAAACCTGCACATTTCAAACACAGCAACACTGCATCCACCCTAAGGACAGTACATCAAGACATAAGCAAAGCAATGTAGCAGTGAGGAATTCCAGGATCTCTGCATTAGGGAAACTAAACAACAGCTCGACAAGCATATGATTTTGGTGTGTTTGACCTGAGGGCGGAGCTCAGCTCCTCCACACGCAGAGCACCGCAGGCAGATGCTGCAGAGGTGAGTATGACACTGGCTGAAGTGAAACATTACTTGGAATTAACAAACCTTAGGCTCGTTACTGTAGTGCAATAGAAAATACACCTGTTAAACTGGCATAACCCTGCAGAAAAATGATCACTTCAGCTCTGCCTGCAGTTTGTCCTCCACCACTGGTATGTGCTAACCATAGCAAACATTTACCATGCAGCATTCTTACAGCCCAGCTGATGACTGCCGTGCATCATCAGTTGAAAACCTAATGAATCTTGTTTGTGTGTCTCTGTGTGTATATATATATATGTATGAAGAATGAAGAGGTTGCCTTCCAGACCTGCTTCCTCTGAGACCAGTGATAAAAAGATAAGATTCTCTCAGTTTGAAGTAAGACAAACACTAGAGAATGTGCCATTATTAAGTGTATATTTTATTGTGCATGATGAATGCAGCTCTGCTATGTGACTTATACGTGTGCGTGTCCACAGCTGCAGACACTAATCAAGCAGGAGGTTCACTGTGCGGTGAAAAAGAATGAAGCCAAGCTATTGCATTTAATAGAAACTGTTGGACACCTGGATCATGGAGCTGACATAGAAAGCACCATCCAAAAACTGGAGGTCAGTGGATGCATCGATACACATTTGTGCCTTGTAGTGAACTGTGTTAGGTAGTGGGGGGTGAGCACACACACACATTCTTTCCAAGTTTACTGTTGGCAAATGTCCAGGCTAATAATTCTGTATATTCACACCGTTTCTTTCTTCTTTCGTTTTCTTTCCCTTTGTTTTTGTCTCACTTCATTTCTCCCTGTGTTAATTTCCTCATGTTGCTTTAAAATCAGCTTGTTTTTTATGCCTTTGCCATTTTTACTTTCCGTAGCTGTTCGTAAAACTTTAGGCATGCATTCTTTTTTGTCTGGTGTTCATTGTTGTGTTTCTTTTTTCATTAGATTAAAGGGCTATTCATGCTTTGTCCGCTGCGGTTGATGTCGAAAATGGCGTCATTTGACCATAGCGGACATGCGGAGTAGCCTTTTAACGTTCACCTTTTATGTCTTATCTCATAAAACTGAAAGATCCAGACATGAATGTATTCAGGGTATGTTTCCATGTTTGTGGTAAAACAAAAAACACATTAAACTCACCAGATCTTTACACGGTGTTTTCCTCTTCCTCAGGCTCGAATCAGCACGGTGGCTAAGAGAGCGGAAGCAGCTCTTGCCTACATGACAGAGACACAGAAGAAGGTTTGATGCAGACGAGCATGAATTCACACGAACTCTATGGACTGACATGCATGTTCAGTGTAACAAGCTTTAGCTGAAATGCACAGTATAGTAACTTAAATTAGAAAATGTGATAAATGCACAAAATAATTATGTTCGTTTTGAAATCCACACACACTTGAATGTTTCTTCCAGGGTCCGCTGCCGCCTCTGGTTAACGTGGACGTCATCAGGTACGTACAGCCAGGTTCAGTAAAGTTCGTCCTCTGTGAAAACCATGAAGGGCCTTGATGTTTGCAACTGTTTTCTGCAGGCCGCACTCAGATGAAGATCAAGAAACCATGTCTCAGAGTAAGAGCCCAGCGAGCGTCTCTGCACTAGTGAATATTTACCTTTGTTTGTTGCATGAGTATTTATTCTGTGAACTTTTATTTTGCAATAGAGAAAATAAGCGTGGATAAGAGGGGAGAGCTCTTTCAAACAATGGTAACTATGTAGTTATCAGTTTTTGATTTGAAATAATATTGAAGTATGGACTTCTACAAAGGGCCTTGGAATAATGGGTTGAATACACATGTAAATATCTTATTTACTCAGCAAATATTTCCACATAGCTGAGTGTTAACTGTAATTATTTATTTTTAAGAATTCTACAGTACACACTGGAGAAAGAATTAATGTCAGCAGGGGTTGTTTGGCTGTTAGCTGTGGTTTATTCTGTGTTGAGTGAGCTGAAACTCTATAAACATGGAGCTTGAAGTTGATTAATCTTTCCTGTCCAGGAAACCACCAAAAAATCACTACAGAAGCTTCGTACAGATAATGAAGGTAAGATGATTTCATACAATGTGTGAACTGGGTCAAGTACCTGTCTTATGTGTGTTGCTTCTGGTAGCATTGTCTCCATGCGGTGTGGATTACTCAGATTCAATGCTATGAGTCAGTCCGTCCATAAACTCACTTCGTTTTCTCTACTCTCCTGTCCCTTCTTTTGTTATTGTCACGGTGTTAAGCCTTGAGGACCGCTGTAGCAGATTTATGTGAGGTGCCGTCTCCGCCGGTTCTTACTCCTTATGGCTCTCCTGGCAGTAAGGTAAGGATGCTTTGTTACTGAAGATAGTTTCTAAACATGTGAAACTAATGACAGTCTTGTTTGATCAAGTGGAAAGAAAATCCTTTCATAAAGTCTTAGATCAGTCGTTTTTTTCAGTTGTGCTTTTGTTTACTCAGCTTTCTTTTCCAAACTTTGATTTTTTGATTCAGACACTTCTCAGGATCATAAATAAAGAGCCAGAAGACGAGCAGGAAAAACAAAAGAAACAGGGTCTCAAGGAGGAAAAGGCCGACAGCGTGACAGTAGAACATCTGTCCTCTGGTAGATGTAGTAACATTCCCAAGAACATGGAGATGGAGGTGGTACCACACACACTGACACTAACCCACACTGCTAACCACGTGGTTATATGCTTCTCACATTACCTCCGCTCTCTCCCCCTTTCCTCACCCTAAGGACCAGGTTCTGTATCCTCCTCTTCCAGCCACCACCTTTCCCTCCATCCTGACCATGGAAGCAGCCTCATACAATATCCCCCAGAGACCAGAGGTCCATCTGGCACTCATCAGGGAGCCCCCTGGTCTCTCTGTGCTCTGGAGGGTGGAGGAAGAGGACCCTTTTGCGCCGCCCATGGATAGTTACAGGTGAGAAGAAGCACCAGGCAGGTGGACCAATGAAAAAGCCATTTTGATGAAAACAGCAGATGACTCCCAGTTCCTTTTCTTCATTCTTCTCTTCTCATAGCATGTCCTTGCATATTTTCCTAACGTTACGTGGGCAGTACTAAGACACAAGGAAAAGACGCAAGTGATTGATATGTGGATGCAATTAGAGGAACTGGGATTCACCTACACAATGGTTCTTGATCAAATCATTAAGCAGTACATGTAGGCTACAATATTCACTTTTAAGAATCTGTGACCAAAAGTCCAAAACCGAGGTATTTAGTTTACTTTTCTATATGACGAAGAAGCATCACATCCTGCCTTTTTAGGAGTTTGAGCCTGAGACGCATTTAACTGACAGTGTAGCAAGTTGTTTTTCTGTCCACTGACTAAGTCGTTAATCAACGGATGGTTTACCGATTGTAGTGGATGTTATTATCAAGACTCCAAATGGTGTCGCCATCTGTGGCCACCAGTGTGCCAGAACACTGGTGCAACAACTGTATGGGTCATCTTCAAAACAGAAACTGAAAGCTGTTTCCCATCATAAGTCCATTAGTATTTCATTTGTTAATGGGAATTAGATCTTTATTTTTGCCACCGTTGTGCCGCTTTGGAGACAAGCAGCTGCTCTCAGCCAGGTTTATTGCAAGAGCGGTCTTTTGTGCTCATGGCAACGTACGACCACCAGATGGCAGCAGAGTTCAGCCTGTTAGTGGCCTTCACTCTTTGTTTTAGTTGCTCACTTTTTGTGTGTTTGTTTTTCGCTCTCTTTCTCTGTTGTAGTATTTATATGAGTACGGAAAAGGTTAAAGATAGCAGCGTCTTCCCAGACTGGAAAATCCTGGGCGAGGTGAAGGCAATCGATCTACCCATGTGTGTGCTTGTCAAAAGGTACAAGCCTGGGCATAAGGTGTGTGTCACTGTGGTGGGCAAAGACAAGTTTGGCCGGTACGGGCCCTACAGTAAAGTCGTCGCCGCAGCCATACCTGACTAAGAAAGAGGATGTGGTCAACAGAGGGGCAGTACATCTACTTAATGTGCTTCAGCTATTTTGTTTCTTCATGTGTGTTTTTTAAGGTGCTTAATAAAGTTGACCTTTTAAAGGAACATTTACTCTGTATGATTTTTATTTATTATTAAAAAAAATCACCAGATGTTACAGCGTCACAAAATGTTTCTTTTCTCTCTTTTATATAATGAATTCTTTTTTTAATATTTTTTTTTAGCTGTAATAATCTAGCTGTGTTCAGAAATAAATGTGGAGGATTTTAATGTTTTTATATACACCAGTCAGGTATAACATTATGACCACCTGCCTATAGGAGTCAATGTGGCCGTTGGTTGGCACTGGTGTCGCTCTGCAGCTCACTGCATCTTCTGTGAATCCATTTGCTTCCATAGTTCTACTGTCAGGAAGAGCACAGATGTGTCTACAATTCAGCGATAAAGTTATGTAAAAGGAGAGAAAACTGTGGTCGTGAGGACGAGTTAGAGAGAATGTTTTAGACTAATTCAACAGCCTCACCACTCTAGGTGTGATATCACCACTACAGCCCCTGACTCTTTCTCTTCATAGAGACCAATGGACAGTGTTTCTCATTTTCAACCATTTTAACAAAGATTCAAATACATTAATACATTTTAATCTTTTGAAAAGTACAAATGGAAGTTAAAAGTTTAATCTACAGTAGGTCAACCTCATCATCAGTGAGCTGTGGGCGTCCATGACCCTGTTGCCAGTTCACCATTTGTCTTTAGACCACTGTTGGTAGGCACTAACCACTGCAGACCAAGAACAGAGCGTTTCAGCGCTGGTTAAATACAGCTGAGGCTGATAAGTACACCTAGTTTCTTCTGGCTAACACCATTTCTCTGGGGACCAACATGTGTTCAGACACGGTGGAGATTATTATTATTGAATAGTAAAGATTAGACACTTTAAAAAAAGTTTTTTTTTTTTTTTTTTGTCCTGCAAGTAAAACTAATTTGGACAAGGTGCTGTAGGCTAATTGGGGCCACTTTTTTCCTTCCATGAAAAGTTTATGTATTCCATGAAATAGAAGTGTCATGAAATACAAGTGTTATTATGAAAAGAAACTTGGAAAAAAGGGCATTTTGAAATGTGAAATATAAATGAACTCTTACGAAAATAAACATTTTACAGTAAGTTGAGATGTAATCATTTAGTTGGCTAAGTACTGTTATTTTGTTTTACACAGCTTATTTTATTTTCATTGTATATTCAGAGTAAGTTATTTATTAGGATTTGTCCTGGACAAGGAACATGACTGTTCACCCATTTTGAACCAAGACCACGTAAAACATTGAACTAAGTACATTTACTGAAGTTAATGTACTTAAGTAACCTACAGTTTTGAGGTATCAGCTTTAGTATTTTCATTATCTGCTACTTCAAACTTTGATTTCAGTATAGCCTATTTTAGAGGCAAGTATTTTTACTGCTCTACATTGGATAACTTTAGTTACTAGATACTTATCAGAATCAGATTAATAAAACAAAACCCAGTATAACACTAGCATTGATGGTGGGAACATGTACACAGTGCATCAATAATTATAGCCCAGTTATATGATATAAATCAGCCTTAGTTGAAATGTGCCGTTCTGCATAATGACTACTTTTTTGGTGCTAATACTTTTACACATTTTGTACTTAGAGTATTTTTACAGTGTGGTATCCTATTGTGACTTTTACTTTCAGTAAGAAGCCTGAGCAGCCTATTTCTTCCACCACTGACATAAATCTTAAGAACAAGCCTATTTTTTGTTTTTATTTTGAAAAAAAATGTTCTTTTGATGAATAAAAGAAATTATTTTTACAATATTAAAATCTGTTTATATGATCTCATAATATATGGAAGGAACAGGCTTGTGCAGAACACCCATCCTAAGTTTGTACCTGAGTCTCTTGACGTTCAGTGGCGTAGTTTCTGGGTATTAGAAGTGTGCGAGCTATTTAACTGAGCGTGTGAGGAAAAACTGCTGAAACAGCCAGAAGGAAGCCAAGCAGTCACTAAAGTCCAGAAACTTACAGATGACAATGAACGTTTTCACACAGAAAGTGGACAGAAGGCCAGCCATCGCCGTTTTTCTCTGAACTGGTTGGCCTAGATAAACCTGTATGAACCTCCCTGTGGTTTTTATTTTGCCCGTTTGTTTTGTAGGCCTACATTTATAAAATACTTTCCCCTTATGTTTGCTAGTTGTATTGTCATGACAAATGGTGAAATATGTATGTGTTTCACTGTCATTAAGAAAAGTTTTTTAATTCAAATTGGGAAGAGGTTTTACAGGCCTTCAGTTTGCAGAGATGAGATTTGATATGTAGATTAAGGTGTTTTATTTCTTATTTCATAGATAAATGCAAGCAATTGAATGCATTTTTTATATTTGATATTTTTATTGCTTGCAACATAAGATAAGTATATTTAGTAAAAATGACTAACATGTATTTGAGAATATGAAACTTGAAATAAGTGAGTACATTATACTTTGTCATTTTGTGTGATTGGGCAAAACATAAGACATATAAGTGGGTTTATGAGACACTACGCCTGTTTTTAAATGCAGGTCTGCTCTTTTTTTGGTGTGAAACCCATTTTGGAAGATTCAGTGAAGGAGCTCCAGAGATTTCATGGTTGGCAAGATTTCCAGCTTGATCCTCGGGAGCCCTACATTAATAAGACCACTGCAGCAGCAGGATGAACAATCTGCCTCATGGTAGGTTCTTGCAGATTGGTACCAGCTCAAACACACCTGTATACTGTAAAGGGTGCACCCTGATTAACTGAGCCCAATCCAGTGTGCGTCTAGACCCAAATCTGATTCGTCCCTGGGCCCTTATCAAGTTCAGCTCAGTCTGGTTGTCTTTGGCTTCACTAGGCCTAACACGGTGACCCTGAATAGCTGGTATCACAAAGCTTTTTATCAACTATTGCTGCACCAGTGCTCGATTAACTCTCTCTGGCTAAAAGCATGTGAAAGAGGCAGATTACAGGAAGATCAGAGCTATGAATGAGGTTGTTAATATGCTTTGGGATAAAATGGTGACAGTTCATCTGAACCAACAGCAGAAATGTGATCTTTCTATAGATTTGATAAAGACAAAATTAAATATTCAGGACTAAAGCTATAAATAAGTGTGGATATTATTAAATGTGTTGTTTGGATTTTTGTGTGATAAACAAATAAGTACTGGCACAGCTAAGGACACATTTCTCTTGGTGTAAAGGACCCAGATTTTTTTATTTTACCGTTTTTGCAAATGTGATGATGAACTTCTAGTTGACTGAATGTGCTAGTGTTGTGTTTGTTGTTAACTTACTGTGAGGTGTACTCACCCAGCAGGGGATTGCATTTGACATACCCATATTATACTCACTGTAGAGGTATTTCCTCTGATGCGGGCCAGAATATGTATGTAATGCATGTACAAATTGTCAAATCTGTAAACTTTTAGCCCTATAGGTTTCCGCTTTTCTGGTTGCACTGTTGGTCACGCACAGTTTGCTATTATGCTGCGTATGAAGGAGTGTGAGTGCAACTGTACAGGGAGTCATTAGACCCGCATTGAATGTCTGCTCCTAGCATCAGCAATAAACTGTGTGTATGCGCATCTCCCTTCGACCAGCGGGGCCCAGTGCGGAAGCACAGCGGAGTGATGGGCCTCCTAAGACCACTTAAAAATGCACACAACCCCACCGCTCTGACACACACATACAGACACACACAGTGGCCTAATTAGAACTGACAGCAGAGAAGAGAGAGCTTATGAAAAGAGGAAAAGGGGGAGGAAAAAGTGCCAAGAAGCCAGACAGAAAAAGCAGAGGTGGAGCAGAGAGAGTGATTAGGGAGCAAATGCCTTGTTTAAAGTTTTAAAGTGAAGTGTTGGCAGAACGGTGACCTGCTTCTTCAGTTCCTTCCCTCCTGTAGAATCAAATGTGTATGGAACATTACAGCCGTCATACATGTGTGCTTGGTAACACACTTGTCATCTTAAAGGTTACCTTAACTAAGAATTTACACACTGTCGCCTTACTCGTCTCTCGCACTGTTGCTTGGACTCCCCGCAGGCCTGAGCTGGCCCGGTCTTCTGGCTTGTGTCACTAGCTGTGCACTGGTTTTAGTGTTGTAGTGGCACAGACAGAAACTAAACCAAAATGCCTCAGAGATGAGGGTCATCAGTCTGTGGAACATAAAGTTCCTCACTTTGGTTTGCATCTTGGTTTCTCTTTACCTTCTGACGGGCGCATACCAGATAAAATACGCCCTGCTGACGTTTGGTAACCAATCAAATTTTACTCCAACCTACCTGTGCTATACAAGGAAAGCAATATTTTGTCCTGTTTACATTTTTGTGGGAGCTGCTATTATGAGCATTTAGTTTTAAGCAGGTTGTCACTTGCTTGGTCATCCCTTCATATTTTCATTACCTTGACTAATTGAGGAATAGTGAAGGGTTTGCCACGTGTGCACAATAAACATTCCACAGTTCAGGAGGTTGCAACAAGTTGATTCTTTACTTCTATGTACATAGATCACTTGTAAGAGTAAACTGAAAACCTGTGTCATTTTTCTACACTGGGAATAATTTGCAGTTTAAAAGCGGTTTAGTGATACATTTCTACATCAATTCTAAAAGAGGAGGAGCACTCACAAAGGCAGTCCACACAATAAATGATACGCAAATAGTTTCACTTCACCTCTACAAATCATGAATCAATTTGCAATGAACATTTTGAAACTTTTGGTTTATATGCCAACAGAGGGTTGTTGTTAGTGTCTGTGTTATTTTTGTTGATACAGTATTATATTATATTTCACATGACTGTTTACACTGTAGTAGTCCTGTGGATAGTACATCTAGCTCAGACCACACACCCCACTGGATTTTGAGCATGTTTCATCTGTACCATAAAGTTCTATGTCCAGAATACAAGTGAAGACATGCTAATTGTTAACAGAGTAGAGCAGCCGGCTGTCTGCCTTTAACACGTCGTGTTTGTTTCCATCCATGTGAGAAAAGAAGCCGACCTGGACTAAATTTTTACACAAAAACACAGATGTCAGGTTGTCAGATCCACACTGTGCCA